CCACTATGAATATTCTTATACATATATTTTGATGCCCATGTACCTGAGGAGATTTGTGGAGTCAAAGAGTATGCATATCTTCAATTTTACTAGATAATGGCAAATTGTTTTCTAGAATGGTTGTACCAGTGTACAACCTCATTAGTAGAGTATGACAGTTTTCATTGTCATCTGCTAGGGAAATTGTTGAACTACATATACAAATCATCTATGTCTACAAGATAGATGTTGTAGGGTTGTGCAGTGTACAACCTGAGCATTCGTATGCGAGAGGCTAGAGGTCGAATACCTTTTCATATGCATATTTTTTTGAAGTGACCATTCAGGTCTTTTGCCTATTTTACTCTTAAGTTGTCTGTTTCTTACTGATTTGAGTTGTTCTTTATGGGTTCTGGGTACTTATTCTTCATTGGTTAAATTTATTGCAAATATCTTTCCCAAATCTCTGGTTTGCTTTTTTACTCTCTTATGGTATCTTTTGACTGAAGCTGTGTCTAGTAAATAGGGTTCCTTTATACAAATTACAAAAAGGTTCACCCTCTGATGGCTTTGCAAGTGTAGTGTTGGCTGAATTTCATCTTTTACTTGCTATTGTCAGATACCTTTGTGCCAATTGCCACATAATCTACTACATAAAAGTGGCAGCTCTGCTTTTGACTACCAAATGTTCTAAATTTTAATAGTCGAATTTATCACATTTTTTCTTTATGTAGTTAAATTTTATATCATTGTTTTTTTTATAAAAAGGTTAGTGCTTCTTGTGTTCTATTTAGAAAGGTTCTCATCCCTGTCATGAAGATGTATGCCTTTATTATCTTGTAAAAGCTTTCTGGTTTGGACTTCAACATTGAAATGTACCTTCTTTAATATTTCTGATAGTTAACAAATGTAGTGTATACCATATATCATGCACATAGTCTCTTCTGAGGTATGATAGATAATACAGAGCCCTTACCACGATTTCAGTAAGTTCCTCTGGCTTGGTATATCACATTCACTTTGTTTTTGCTCTTACTATTTGCTGTTCTTTGGTTTCTGTGTCTATAGAGTAGGCACACTTTTGCCATTTCCTAGGTTGTCCTCTTTCTCATCTTCCTTCTTGCTGGTAACTGAACATTTCCCCATTTTCCAAAGAGAATAGTTCCATCTACTCTTAAAAATTTTTAAACTTTTAATTTGAAAAAAATGTTTCAACGACAGTACAAAATCTTGTGTACCCTTCACCCAGATTCACCAATGTTAGCACTTTAAAAAACCACAGTACAATGATCAAAATCAAGAAATTAATATTGACAATGCTATTATCTAATTTACAGATGTTATCCAAATTCTGCCAAATGTCCAACCTGTGTCCCTTTTCTGATCCAGGATCTGATCCAGTATTACATGCTTGCATTTAGTTTTCATGTCTCTCTTTAGTTTGTAACAATTCTTCAGCTTTTCCTTGTCTTTCATGATCTTGACACTTTGTAGAGTGTCCCTCATTGTGGTCTGTTTATGTTTTCTCTTGATTAAATTCAAGTTGTGCATTTTTTATTTTGTAAGAATACCACATAGGTGATATTGTGCCCTTCTTAGTACATCATTCCAGAAGACACATTATATTACTTTGTGCCATTACTGGTGATGCAATCCATCATTTGCTTAAGAGACTGCAGGGTTTCTCAAATGTAAAGTTGATATTTTGCCTTGGTAATTAATAAGTACCTTGCAAGGGAATACTTTGAGACTCTTGTTTCTCATTATACTTTGCCCACTAACTTTAGCATACATTGATCATCTTTACTTGAAACATTTATTACTGTGATATTTTATAAATGGTGATTTTCTGTATTATTCCTTCTACATTTATTGGAATTCTGTAAGAAGACCTTTCCCTTATCTGTCATCTACCTGTCATTTATTTTAACCAGTATAGGCTTATGAATTCATATTCTAAAGTTTATTATCCATTACTATATTGCTCAAATTGTCCTTGATTTGGCTATTAGAAACCCCTTCAAATTGATCTGTCTATCCTTTTGACATGTCCCTATCATTTTTTTACATGCTAGCGCTTCTGTATTTTATTTATTTATTTATTAAAATTTTATTGGAGTAACTGGTTAATACAATTATATAATTTTTGGGTGTACATTATAATTTGACATCTGTATATTCTATTGTATGTTTACCACTCAAAGTCCAGTTTCCTTCAACTACCATATATTTGATCCCCTTTACCCGTTTTGCCCTCCTACCCCGCTATATTTGACCCCCTTTACCCCGTCTACCTCCTCCCTTCTCCCCTACCCCCTACTCTCGGTAATTACTAGTCT